ACAGCGCCAATCGATAGCCCTGGTCGAGACCTTTCCAACGAGGGGTCGGAAGGCACAAACCGCTCGATCAGGGCTATCGATTGGCGCTGTCAGAATTTTTGGTCGCAATTTCAAACCGGAATATCTCGAGAACGGTGCGTCGTAGATATGCCCTCGGCTATCTCCTCAATCTCCTGGTATCCAGACAAAATTTTAAAAGAATTTTCTGATTGTCCCCTCGTGTATTAGGAGCTGAAACACCTCCTCGCACATTATAACCTCCTGCTACCAAATTTGAAAAGATTTAAAACGAAATTTGGCTTCGAAATATTTTTGTGGGTGATAGGAAAAGACTTCCTCGACTGTTATGTTCTCCTCGTAGCCAAGGTACAATTTTAAAAGAATTTTCTGAATATCCCCTCGTGTAATAGGCGCTTAAACACCTCCTCTCACATTATAACCTCCTGATACCAAATTGGAAAAGATTTAAAACGAAATTTGTCTTCGAAATAGTTTTGTGGGCGGTGGGAAAAGACCTCCTCGACTGTTATATTCTCCTGGTAGCCAAGGTAAAATTTTAAAAGAATTTTCTGATTGTCACCTCGTGTATTAGGAGCTGAAACACCTCCTCGCACATTATAACCTCCTGATACCAAATTGGAAAAGATTTAAAACGAAATTTGGCTTCGAAATATTTTTGTGGGTGATGGGAAAATACCTCCTCGACTGTTGTGTTCTCATGGCAGCCAGATAAAATTTTAAAAGAATTTTCTGATTGCCCCCTCGTATATTAGGAGCTGAAACACCTCCTCGCACATTATAACCTCCTGTTACCAAATTGGAAAAGATTTAAAACGAAATTTGGCTTCGAAATATTTTTGTGGGTGATAGGAAAAGACTTCCTCGACTGTTATGTTCTCCTGGTAGCCAAGGTAAAATTTTAAAAGAATTTTCTGATTGTCCCCTCGTGTATTATGAGCTGAAACACCTCCTCGCACATTATAACCTCCTGCTACCAAATTGGAAAAGATTTAAAAAGAAATTTGGCTTCGAAATATTTTTGTGGGTGATGGGAAAATACCTCCTCGACTGTTATGTTCTCCTGGTAGCCAAGGTAAAAATTTAAAAGTTATTTCTGATTATCCTCTCGTGTATTAGGAGCTTAAACACCTCCTTGCACATTATAACCTCCTGATACCAAATTGGAAAAGATTTAAAACGAAATTTGGCTTCGAAATATTTTTGTGGGTGATGGGAAAAGACCTCCTCGACTGTTGTGTTCTCCTGGCAGCCAGATAAAATTTTAAAAGAATTTTCTGATTGTCCCCTCGTGTATTAGGAGCTGAAACACCTCCTCGCACATTATAACCTCCTGATACCAAATTGGAAAAGATTTAAAACGAAATTTGCTTCGAAATATTTTTGTGGGTGATGGGAAAAGACCTCCTCGACTATTATGTTCTCCTGGTAGCCAGACAAAATTTTAAAAGAATTTTCTGATTGTCCCCTCGTGTATTAGGAGCTGAAACACCTCCTCGCACATTATAACCTCCTGCATACCAAATTGGAAAAGATTTAAAACGAAATTTGGCTTCGAAATATTTTTGTGGGTGATGGGAAAATACCTCCTCGACTGTTGTGTTCTCCTGGCAGCCAGATAAAATTTTAAAAGAATTTTCTGATTGTCCCCTCGTGTATTAGGAGCTTAAACACCTCCTCTCACATTATAACCTCCTGATACCAAATTGGAAAAGATTTAAAACGAATTTTGTCTTCGAAATATTTTTGTGGGCGATGGGAAAAGACCTCCTCAACTGTTATGTTCTCCTGGTAGCCAAGGTAAAATTTTAAAGGTTATTTCTGATTATCCCCTCGTGTATTAGGACTTAAACACCTTCTTGCACATTATAACCTCCTGATACCAAATTGGAAAAGATTTAAAACGAAATTTGGCTTCGAAATATTTTTGTGGGTGATGGGAAAATACCTCCTCGACTGTTTTGTTCTCCTGGTAGCCAAAGTAAAATTTTAAAAGAATTTTCTGATTATCCCCTCGTGTAATAGGCGCTTAAACACCTCCTCTCACATCATAACCTCCTGATACCAAATTGGAAAAGATTTAAAACGAAATTTGTCTTCGAAATATTTTTGTGGGCGATGGGAAAAGACCTCCTCGACTGTTATGTTCTCCTGGTAGCCAAGGTAAAATTTTAAAAGTTATTTCTGATTATCCCCTCGTGTATTAGGAGCTTAAACACCTCATCGCACATTATAACCTCCTGATACCAAATTGGAAAAGATTTAAAACGAAATTTGGCTTCGAAATATTTTTGTGGGTGATGGGAAAATACCTCCTCGACTGTTGTGTTCTCCTGGCAACAAGATAAAATTTTAAAAGAATTTTCTGATTGTCCCCTCGTGTATTATGAGCTGAAACACCTCCTCGCACATTATAACCTCCTGCTACCAAATTGGAAAAGATTTAAAACGAAATTTGGCTTCGAAATATTTTTGTGGGTGATAGGAAAATACCTCCTCGACTGTTATGTTCTCCTGGTAACCAAGGTAAAATTTTAAAAGAATTTTCTGATTATCCCCTCGTGTAATAATAGGCGCTTAAACACCTCCTCTCACATTATAACCTCCTGATACCAAATTGGAAAAAATTTAAAACGAAATTTGGCTTCGAAATATTTTTGTGGGTGATGGGAAAATACCTCCTCGGCTATTATGTTCTCCTGGTAGCCAGACAAAATTTTACAATAATTTTCTTCGTGTATTAGGAGCTTAAACACACACACACACACATACACACCCTCACACACCCCCTCTCACCCTCACACTTACGGAATACAATAAGGCCATAGGAAAGGCAAAACGTAACTCAAAATCTACGGTTTATTGTTCACAAACACCAGAAACAATTCAACACATAATATCGGCATGCACACGACTTCCATAGACAGAATACAAACATAAAAAATTAGCTTTTAAACATATTCTCATAACAGATAAGACACCATACGACAAATACACTCCGCAGATAATACTTAAAAACAGCACACATAAATTATATTGGAATAGGACACTACTCACAATAATAGACCAGATATTACACTGATAGATAAAACACAAAAATCCATTTGTATTATAGACATTTGCCATCTCCAACACTAACAACCTAACTAAAACACATGCAGAAAAACACCGCAAATACATCGATCTATCTATCGAGCTGAAGACAACAACCCACCACCTTATCACAACCCACTCGTATTGAACCCAAACGCAAAGCCAAACAAACATTTACACAATTGCTACACTTGTAGGAAGCGTGTGTTTTATTATTGTTTTTAAAATATATTTTTATTTATTTATTTTTATTTACCAAAAAAAATTAATAATAATAATTTATTTTAGAATCAATTTGGTCGCCTGTATTGGTAACTTTCTTGTGAGTTTTTTTAAGTACTTTCAGAATTTTTGAAGGTATGATATGAAATCCTTTTTATTGGCTTTTCTGAAATTTTATAGAAACTCAATTTTGAATTTGCATTAAGCCGAACCAGCGGAAGCACCAGAAAAACTCATTTTTCTATTTCGGTGTCACAATGATGATTTTGTACAACTGTTTTCGGCCGAAAACAGTTGTACAAAGACAGTGATTATAGTCGCTTTTTTTGGTAACTCATTTCTTAAGTTGGCAGTTACTACTTAGTACAAGTAGGTACTTCATTGGGTACTTCCATGTTTGAACTTCAAAATGTCAGTCTTACTACGCTGCCAACCTAAAACTTAACGGCATAAAAAGTGTTCCCAACATAAAAACATGTTAGTTCTAATGTTCCCTATAGTTTCTGATAATGATTTTTTTAATTAAATTAAAGCACCGAAATAGAAAAAATAGTATGAAAAACGCGTGTTACAATGCGACCTATTGTAATACTCCTATCTTGCGGACACTCGTGGCTACGCTTCGCGTCGCATTGTAACACTTGTCTTTCAATATACTATTTCACTGTATTATCAATAGCTATTGTACCAATTCTGATTCATTTAGATTTAGTAGTTCAAAGTCAAAGCACGGAATTAAGCAAGTCACCGTATGTGGTTTATATGTAAATTCGCAAAGGCCAGACTTTGTCCATGATCGGTCCAATTTAAAAGGTAACGGTTTCGGTGGGACACGCATTTCGTTCCAATTCGGTGCGTCGAAAATGGATCATCCTGGAATCGAAGAGTTTTTTGCGGGCGCTAACGTTTTCTTGACCGGTGCGACCGGCCTAATGGGAAAACTGGCGATGGAGAAGCTTCTGCGTTCCTGCGGCGACCTGAAGAAGCTCTACGTGTTGGTCCGCGTGAAGAAAGGAAAAGCGGTCGAGGACCGATTCGTGGAGCTGTTCGAGAATGTGGTACGTACAACCTGTGGTCGACCACTTTGCTTTGAGCTGCTGTTCCAGATATTCGATCAACTAAAAAAGGAGCAGCCCGATTTTTTGAGTAAAGTGGTACTCATCCACGGCGATTGTGTTCAACCTAATCTTGGGCTGAGCGAGGATGATCGAATTATGCTGAGGGCAAAAGTGAATTGCGTCCTGCACTTTGCGGCAACCGTTAGATTCGATCAGACTATTCGAACGGCCACCTACATCAACGTCAGGGCGACGCGAGATCTTCTGAGGCTCGCCACGGAGATGCCCAATCTCAAATCTTTTGTTTACATGTCAACGGCCTACTCCCACTGCGTCCGAAGTAGCATAGGCGAAGAGTTCTACGAAACCCCGTTTACCGGGGAAAAACTAATAACGCTAATTGACAGCTGCAGCGAAGATTTCCTCGACAAAATAACACCAACGTAAGTTAAGCTTCAGCCTCCCGTACATTTTCCACCGAGCTATTGCAGACTTCTGGAAAGTTGGCCGAACACGTACTCGTTTACGAAAGCCGTCGCCGAGGAGGTCGTGCAGAGTTTCAGTGACAGATTATCGGTTGCCATAGTTCGGCCTTCCATAGGTATGTGAATTGGTTTAGAAACCCAACATTTTTGAAATTTTTCTTATTATTTTAATGTTAGTTTTTTATTGTAAATTTAGTCGTTAATTATTGTTGAATTGATTTAATTCAATTTACAACTTAGGAAACATTTAAACCTTTATATGGTCTGGTGTTGCTAAAAAGTTGTTATCGGACCAGAATTAATTGCTTTTCCAACAAACAATGCCACGTGCGCGATAAGCGTTGCAGGTGTTTTAATCAGTTATGACGGCGTAGATGGAATTAAGAGTAGGTATCGTCGGTAATAACGATGTTGAGTTTATTGGAGAAGGTGCTTTTTGCGCAAATGTGAAGAACGAAAAGTAAACCGGGCTGTATCGGCTTATTTTGAAAGAAATCATAAAACTGTCCGGACTCTTTAGACTTTAAGTTCATCGAACGTTAAAGCGGTTTGAAATTCTACAAACTCGTGTGGTTGTTAACTTCTAAAGGCTTCTATTTTTTTAATTTTTAGTACTGCCAACGGCAAGGGAGCCGTTACTGGGATGGACCGATAACATGTACGGGATAATTGGATTAGTTGTCGGCATTTGTTTGGGTCTAATCCGTGTAGCTCGTATTAAAATCGACTGTTTGGCCGACATGGTGCCGGCAGACTACTGCATTAACAATGCGATTGCCGCCGCCTGGTACGTCGGAGAGAAGTAAGTCTTCGCGGACACGAACGACCCTTCACCCTTAAATTTCTTACAGAAAGAACCGGGAAGTCGTCGACAACTTCGATAATCGACCTCCAATATTTAACTTCGTAATTACTCCCCATGCCCCCATCACTTGGGGTGAGTTTCTGTACGCTTACACTTCATATCAATTAATTATATTACAGGAAATTTTTCAAAGTGGATGTATGGTCATTTAAGAAAAGTACCAACAAAATACCTGGTGTGGTACCCTTGTTATTTCTTCGCAGAGAATTACTACACGTACATGCTCCTCAACATTCTTTTTCACCACATACCGGCGCATCTCGCCGACTTTGTCATGCTTTGCCTTGGACGACAGCCGTCCTCCGCGATTCCCGGATTTTCCCATTTAAATTACCGGCCTGTGGATGGCGCTAGAAAAATCGATAAGGTCATGAATGCCATCTCGTACTTTTCGACAAGGGAATGGACGTTTTCCGACCAGAACACTCAAGAGCTATATCGGCAATTGAATGATACGGACAAGGAAAAGTTCTTCTTTGATTTGAGCAACTTCGATTGGAACCAGTACTTCTACTCCGGGGCAGAAGGCGCTCGCGTGTACATTCTCAAGGACCCTTTGGAAACCATACCGGAAGGGGAAAAACGATACCGGAAGCTACAAATTTATCATTTCGCTTTAGTAACAGTTTTATGTTTGGGACTTTTATGGTTGTGTTATTTTATAATCAAGTTATTGTTTTAAGTACACAATTTTTGATGAACATGTAATACTAAAGTAGCATTAGGCACTTATCCGGATTAAAAGTCATTTCATACTAATTATCTATTACACTTGAAGAGGGTAGGTGTGAATGAAAACAACTTCACAAGTAGATAAAACACATCTGGTTGGTAAGTTGAAATATTAATTTAATTTAATAAGGATTGCCGGAAGCGTGGGTACAGCAGGTCGTTAATGGCCGTTTCGCCAGCTGGATTTTCATTTGGAGGCACAGCACTCCAACCTAACCTCACTCATACGTTAACCTAACCTTCACCTCCTCGCACATTATATTCTCCTGATATAAGATTTTTGATCTAACCTAACTAGCACTCAAACCTAACCTCACTCATACTTTAACCTAACTTTGACCACCTCGCACATTATATTCTCCTGATACCCGATTTCTGACCTAACCTAACTAGCACTCAAACCTAACCTCACTCATACTTTAACCTAACCTTCACCTCCTCACACATTATATGCTCCTGACTCTTTCCCCATTTTCAAGTTAATAATGACAATGAAGTACGCTATCTTATATGAAACTATTTAAATTTAGATCGATTTCGAGGTGAAGGTTAGGTTAAAGTATGAGTGAGGTTAGATTTGAGTGCTAGTTGGGTTAGATCAAACATCTGGTAGCAGGAGAATATAATGTGCGAGGAGGTGAAGGTTAGGTTAACGTATGAGTGAGGTTAGGTTTGAGTGCTAGTTAGGTTAGATCAAAAATCTTATATCAGGAGAATATAATGTGCGAGGAGGTGAAGGTTAGGTTAACGTATGAGTGAGGTTAGGTTTGAGTGCTAGTTAGGTTAGATCAAAAATCTTGTATCAGGAGAATATAATGTGCGAGGAGGTGAAGGTTAGGTTAACGTATGAGTGAGGTTAGTTAGAGTGCTAGTTAGGTTAGATCAAAATCTGGTATCAGGAGAATATAATGTGCGAGGAGGTGAAGGTTGGGTTAAGTATGAGTGAGGTTAGGTTAGAGTGCTAGTTAGGTTAGATCAAAAATCTTGTATCAGGAGAATATAATGTGCGAGGAGGTGAAGGTTGGGTTAAAGTATGAGTGAGGTTAGGTAAGAGTGCTAGTTAGGTTAGATCAAAAATCGGGTATCAGGAGAATATAATGTGCGAGGAGGTGAAGGTTAGGTTAACGTATGAGTGAGGTTAGGTTAGAGTGCTAGTTAGGTTAGATCAAAAATCGGGTATCAGGAGAATATAATGTGCGAGGAGGTGAAGGTTAGGTTAACGTATGAGTGAGGTTAGGTTAGAGTGCTAGTTGGGTTAGATCAAACATCTGGTAGCAGGAGAATATAATGTGCGAGGAGGTGTAGGTTGGGTTAAAGTATGAGTGAGGTTAGGTTAGAGTGCTAGTTGGTTAGATCAAAAATCTTGTATCAGGAGAATATAATGTGCGAGGAGGTGAAGGTTGGGTTAAAGTATGAGTGAGGTTAGGTTAGAGTGCTAGTTAGGTTAGATCAAAAATCGGGTATCAGGAGAATATAATGTGCGAGGAGGTGAAGGTTAGGTTAACGTATGAGTGAGGTTAGGTTTGAGTGCTAGTTGGGTTAGATCAAACATCTGGTAGCAGGAGAATATAATGTGCGAGGAGGTGAAGGTTGGGTTAAAGTATGAGTGAGGTTAGGTAAGAGTGCTAGTTAGGTTAGATCAAAAATCGGGTATCAGGAGAATATAATGTGCGAGGAGGTGAAGGTTAGGTTAACGTATGAGTGAGGTTAGATTAGAGTGCTAGTTGGGTTAGATCAAACATCTGGTAACAGGAGAATATAAT